GGTTAAATTCTTAAAATACGAGGTAACATTTTTGTGGGTATTACCTACAGAAACACTGTCTAATGGTGAAGAAATCAAAATGTATTCCCTCATGACTCTAGGAGAGGGAGGGAAAGAGCAAAGACTATGAAAAATATTCAATGTGTTGTATATACTGAAGGTCTTCTTTCCATGTGACCATAACCTGCTATCACCAGTAGGAGGAACACTTGTCTAAAATCAGCCTCCTCTAATCTTCCTGAGTCACATAAGAGAGAAGACAGAAGCTAAGAAATACATGCAATTATTAGATTTTTCCTTCCCCCATATCAACAGGACTTTAATATAACAACTGTAAATCTTGGGCAAAAGAGCTACATAGCCTAGTTCTAGAATGTTTCTAAAGAGGAGCTCTTAAGAAAACTGAAACCAAGAGAGGATGCAAAAACAAGAGCACTAGAGAAACCAGAAGTCTCTGGTATCTATAGCCACAGCCAACATTAAACATAGGGTAACCACTGACTAACTTAATATAAATTCTCACGTTAAAGACCTATTTACCGTAGTCCGTATTACCTGACACTACATCCAATAACAGTATTTAACAAAGAAATTCCAATGCATGTTAAAATGCAAGAAAACTGACAATGTGAACATACAAGGCAGCATCAAAAACAAACACAAATAGAGAACAAATTTTGGAATCTTTAGCAAAGAAATTTATGACAATTATGATTAATATACTGAGGGTTCTAAAGGAAAAAGTAAACACCCAAAAACAGATGAATCATGTAAGTAAGCTGATGGAAAGAATCAAAGGAAACACTGAAAATAAAAAGCATTGTATCAGAAATAAAGAATATTTTGGTCAGTATCATTGTTTGACAGAACATAGTTGAGAAAGAATCAGTGAGCATGAAAATAAGTTAGGACGAACTTTAAGTTGTCCCTGCTGGCTTGAACCACCAGCAGTACATGTATGAATGGTCCTTTGAGAGGCTTGTGCTACTGGTGATACAAATGGATCTAGTCACTTTTATTGGTCTTTTTAGTCATAAAATTACTAATAAGTCTATAAATGGACTGAATATAGTTAGTTGCTTGAATTTTAATAATTACTGTCCAAATATAAATTTTAATGAAGATTATTCATACCAATGAAATAATATTACACAAATAAAATTTGTTTATTTCATTAAGAAATGTATTTATATTCATGAATTCTTTAAAAATCATTTTATATATCAATGTAGCTGATATGTGCAGAGTGAGGAAATCATCATAACTTGTTTGTTTTTTCCATCACAGCCACACCCATTATTTTTAGGTAGTTTTCAGTAACATTCGCTACATTGTGTGCATGCATTTCTTGTCATTCCTAAAGAAGCTTTTAAAAACCAAATTCTTTTTCAAGTAATCTGCACCCATGGCATTTCTTCATGGGTTATTTAGTAATAATTTATTCTCTAAATTTTAACATTAAAATCTTATGAGTACCTCACTACTGGTGTATATAATATGCATTTATAACTACTGTGCCACAGTTAGCTGTATTATAATTTTTTACATCTTTTTAATATTTTCCTTAAGGAATTATAATATAATGACATCTGGTCTGCTAAATCAACACCTTTCTTTCCTTTGTTGTAATCAAAGACTAGAACAGGTTTTATGTTTCCAGATTTTCCTTTGATCAATGTAGGTGTATGATTTTACATGCTGTTAACATGCAAATGGTTCTTTTATTGATCCATTTAACAAATTTTACAACAGAATGATTGTCTAAGTTTATGATTTTGCCACATTTTTGCTTGTAAAATTTTTCTTTGCTGATAAAAGCTTTCAATTTGGCTGTAGTATGCTTCAAAAATATATGTATTTTTTTTTGTAAAAGCTCTTGAGTTAGTAATATATTTGAATAAGAACTATTTGCATGTAATGTACTGTGCTATTTTCAGACTAATACAATCTAGTACCTGGTAATGGTACTATCCCCACAATTAATAATATAGTCATAAAGTGACAATGACTTTTCATTTTAGTATCTTATACTAACAAGGTTAGCTGTAAAACATTATACAATTGAAATCAAATCAGAGCTGCTTTGCAACAAGACACACAAATTACAAGCCCATCATGAATGTGTTAATCACTGGAATACAAACAGAAAAAAATTGAGAATAAATACATAA